CTTCTAGCCAGCCCCGTAGATAGCATATGTGGGGCATGGCACCCCAACTGGAACATCAGTGATGAGGGACATTTTTTTAGGCCTTCGGTTTTCATTGTTGCATAATATATATTTCTGCATATGAGAAAAGCACTTACTACAGGGAAATTCTTAGGCAGAGGAAAGGAGATTTCTCAGATATTTATAACCAAAATATTTCAAAACATAGGTAGCTATATTTATGCTTGATTTTTATTTTAATAAACACTGAGTGTTGCCACCCACAAAGAAATTTTTAGTATCACTTGAGAAAAAGAAATAATCTCCTCCCCAAATGTACAGTTTCCCTGTTTTAAAAAGCAGTTGAGAATTTCAGAAACATTGCAAAATGTGTTACAGCTTGTAAGCTCATTTAAAATTTTCCTTTTCAAATCTTTTCTATTGTGCTTAAAAATATTTAAAAATCTACTCTTGCCAGAGAAACTAATGAGCCGACATTGGGAGAGATTGTGAAGAATTCTCCCACTGCTCACCAACAATAGAAATTTCTTACAGATCTGGAGGCTGACAAGTCCAAGATCAAGTGCCAGCAGATTTGGTTTCTCATGAAGGCCTGATTTTGGAAGATCTTGTTTTAGTTCACAGATGGCATCATCTTATTGTGTACTTACATGATGGGGAAGGAGGTAAACCCTCTCAGGCCTCTTTTACAAGACCTCTTATCCACTCACGAGGGCTCTACCTCATCAGCTAATGGCCTCCCAAGGGCCCCACCTCCTAACACCATCACCTCAGGAGTTTGGACCTCAACACAAAAATTTGGGCAAAGAGGGACACAAACACTCAGGTCATAGCACACACTGTGTAAGTGTAGTTTCTGGACAGGGCCCAGAAAAGCGCTCTCCAAACACACATCCTCAAGCATTCACTTGCAATGGGATAGGCTCTGACATATCTATGGATGGATTTAGTCTGCACTCCAACATTAAATGTAGCAACAAGTCACAGAGGCTTTTCTTAGGAACAGCAAGAACCGTCTGAGAGGAGGCTTCCTCTTCCCTCTGCCTGCCAGACTCTGGGTGGCTCTCTCCATGCTTTCACCTCTGACAGGGGATCATGGACATGAGTTCACATGGGACTTCGTGAAAAAATTTAAAGAGCACTAGGTTGCAAGACAGGAAAATTCAATTCTAATTTTAGTTCTATGCCCAATGAGTCATTTAACTATGGCAAAGTAACGCCAGCAGTTGATTCCAAGTTTCCTCTTTTGTAAAAGGGAAATGGTATGGTGGGTGGGAAGGACACAAGCACATATGCAATGGATACTGTTCACAAACGTGCTACAAGGGCTGTGAGTGATAATCACAGCGAGGGCTGCCTTTACCTGATATTACTCACGAGGAAATGGAAGTTCTGAGATGAAATAACTTCACTGAAGCTACATTTGCTAGCAGCAATAGATGCAGAATTCCTAGCACAGGAACTATCACAGGGACTGGCTTTCCCTAGATAACCATTTTCCATGTGGAACACCGAGGAGTTCATGAATTCTATACTTGAAGCTAGCCTTCCAGGGCATTGTGAAGGTACTTTGTCAAGGTATGCATATTTATTTATTTTTTAAAGTTATGCATATTTAAAAGGACTAACTGTTTATAAGAATGGTGTATAATATATGTGTGTGTGTGAATTTGGGCCTTGAAGCCCTAAGATGTTAGGAACAGTTCTAGATATTAAAATAATGTATTTTTGTTAGAAAGAATTATGATTATTAAGTACAGGTACATAATGCCCATATATAGCTGACACTTTGCAGGTTTTAAATAACCACATAGCTTTTTCGCATATGTGATCTCACTGGATCCCCCTAACCACACATTATAAGGCTGAGAGAAGTTACTGTCCATGTTTTGCAGTTGGGAGTTTGGGGCCAGTGGTCCTGGGCCCCTTTGTCTCACTTCTGACTTCAGCAGCAGCTGTGCTGTGACCATTCTGTGAGAGTTCAGAGTCACCTCCCACCACCCCCACCTCAAGCCCATGCTGTGCTCAAGATCTCAGCGGAATCAAGGCCCCAAGATACCCCGTCACCTATAACATAGTCTTCCTCCCCTCTATGTCCTCTTTCCCTATTGCACTATCCCTGCTCTCTCACTCTTGCTTCCAAATAAACTACTTATTCTCAGTCTTTGTCTCAGGATCTGCTTTGAGGAGACCTCAAGCTATGGGATGCAGGAAGGAGGATGACTTGCCCAGAGCCATGTGGCTGATGAGCAAAGGAAGCAGCACTTTCTCCTAGGTATTCTGGTTCTGAACCCATTGAAGCTTTCATCTACTTTCAGCTGTTCACACAGGTTAGGAAACTGCCATTTCTGGATTTTTTCAATAATACCAGAAACAGAAGCAAATTTTAAAGAAACCTGGTTGAGTATAAAATTAATAATAAACATAATTGCCATCTATGCTGGGGCTACAAAGATGATCTCTAGGCTATAATAAAAAAATCCTTGCATTTTTCAAAGTTTTAAAGTAGTACAGATTTTGCTCTGTTGGAGTTGTCTAATTTACTTGTTTAAGTAAATTACAAATGTTAAGTGTTATCCCCAAATTTTACAGATGAGAAAGCTGGAGTTTTAGAACTTTCAGTGTTGCACATTTAGCTAGTATTGAAATCAGGTTAGAACTTTCTTTATTCTAAGCTTACTGCAGGCTTTGCCTACCAGACCTGTTCAAATCTGGGATTGTAGATTATTCCTGAGGAAGAACACTGGTCTGGGACTTCATAGTGGATGTCCCTCGCCTCTCCTCTTGCCATTTCTCTCCTCCCCACTCCCTTACTTGGTGTCCAACTGCCCCCTTTTCCAGCAACTGTGACACAATTTTCCTTTGAGGAGTCAACCCTCTTGAACACTGAGCCCACACACTCCAAGTCAGAAAAGCCCACCAGTCATTAATTCCAAAGCTTGCAATAATCAGGTCTTAACCAGTTCACAGATTTTCCCAACCTGGCCCCAGTGACTGAGTCAGAGAATGAAAAGGGATCAATTCCCAGCCAATTAGAATGAGTATCTTGATTTGTGAGTCCAGGGTGAAGTTATTCTCACTCCAATAGGAAACTAAGCTAGCACACTGCAGGTCTTTTTTTTTTTTAAATAATTTTAATTGAGTTTATTGGTACATTTTAGGGATACAGTACAGTTACATTCATTGTTGGGATCTTGTACCTCTACATGACAAGTCTTGATTCTCATTTTTTCCCCTTACCTCTGCCCTCCCTTCACCCCCTCCTCCCCTCCCCATCTACAAACACTTTATTTTCATCTTTTCATTCTCTCACATTTTTTTCTTTGCCCTTTTTACTCTTCCCCTACCCATCCCACCTTCCCTACACCTTTAGCTCCTTTCTTCCCATTTCTAAATGTCAGTAATCTTATTAGGATCTTATGCATTGTTGCAGATTATTCACACCAGGGAAACTATTCAGTATTTACACATGTGACTTATTTATTTCACTTAGGAGTATATCTTCAATATGTATCCATTTTCCTATGAATGAATCTATTTTCTCATTCTTTATGGCTGAGTAATATTCCATTTTATAGAAAAACCACATCTTCTTTATCCAGTTTCCAACAGATGGGCAAATGGGCTGTTTCCAAGATTTAGCTATTACAAACTGTGCTGCTACAAACATGGGTGCACATACTTCTCTGCAAGTCTTGAATGTCTGTTGGACATTTTGCCACTGATTGGAAAAGCCCATCTGACAATTAATCAATAAGGCAGAGAGATGGACGGAGACAGACTGATAAAGTGACACTGATCTAGGGTTGCCTGAAGTAAGATTTGCCACTGGACTTTACAGGCCAAGGAGCTGGTACATTACTGCTACCTCTGCACCTTTTAAGCTTTCAACAAATCCTGCTTGATTCAAGGTGTGTACTCAGAAGGACTCAGAAGCCTTGGTACAACTCAGTCTTGAAGAAACACCTGTGTGTTTTCCACCATGAAGGAGAAGGCTAGGAAGTCAGGCAACAGAAGCAGAGCTAATCAGATCCTACCAGGATCCTTTGTCTCAGCTTCAGAGAGCCTCAGGAATGAGGTGCGGCACCAGTCTCTTTATGAATCCATGATGCAACCTCCTATGAGCCCCATCATCTTTAATGTAAAGGATGCCAACTCCACATGCATTGTTTTCAGGATCACTCGTCAGCCACTGCTGCACTTCAAAGTCAAATGGCAACCTCAGTGCAGAACAAAGACCTTAGATTGGGAATTCCTTTGGTTCGCCTTTTTCCTCCCTCCCTTCCTCCCTGCCTTGTTCCCTTTAGATCAAACTACACAGCATATTTAGAATCAATGTTCTTACATCTCTAAGTTCATAAGGACTTCTAATCATTCTTCTCCCTTCTAACAAGCTGAATCACAAGAACTAGAGAGGTCATCATGAGAAAAACAAATGCTGAAATCAGATCGAGGAACTTGCCCCAAGGAAATATGGATGTAGAGGAAAAAAAATGCATTGTTTGATTTTTAAAAGTTTCCCTCTCCCAGAGAAAAGTCATTATCAAATATTATATATATGTATATATCATATATATGTGTGTGTGTATATATATATATATATATATGCATATTTTGTACAGGGGATTGAACTCCATACCTTGTGCTTACAAGGCAGGTGGCAGAACCACTGAGCGAATTCCGTGGCCCTCACATATAATGTTTTAAAGTCACAAAGACAAGGTTCAAGCTTGAAGTGTAGGGAAGCTTATCAGTAATGGTGCCTCAGGAGTTCTCAGGGAAGAGAAATAGAGAAGAGGAGAATGAGAGCAGACAGGTTGACTGAATGATCTGCCACCAAAGAAGGGAGGAGACAGGTACTGGCCCAAGTATAAATTTGGGTCCCAAAGTCTTTGACTCTCTTAAACACATATGTGGCCAAGGCCTAAAGATGACTGTCCCTCTCATCTTACTTCACCGTGGGAAAAGCAGCGGTCTCCAAATTCAGCATTCATACTTACCTGATGAATTCCACAGAATAGTATTGAATGGGGGAGCTTCCTTCACTCTCTCCAGGTTTCCAAGAGAGGGCTACCCCAGAGTCAGAAACCACCAGGACATGAGGCCGCTGGGGTGCTGCTGGAGGCAGGCAGGGATCTAGGCAGGACAACAAACATAGCTAGATTTGGCTGGTTGTCTCATCTGCTGGAGAAGTTGAATAGATAAAAACATGTGCCTCCCACAACCAAGCCTCTCTGCTCAGAAGGCCTTCAAAACCCAAACCAAACACCAAAGATCACAGCTGCATTCACCACATAAGGTCTGACTCAGTGAGAGTTTGCCTTCCATCCTCCACCCAGCACCTCAGCTGGAAAGCCAATGGAGTGAGCTCCACTGAGTGTGACACACATGTGATTTGTTCCCCTCAGACCCTTCCCTCACAACCCCACCTCCTAAGAACCTTTCATCTTCGTCTACATGTTGGACTTGATATTTACCTACAAGGGAAATTAAATGTTTACCATTACTGCCACTTATTTTCTAACTCTTGTGTTTTCCCCTGCTGATAATGAAAATGCACAACAATGGAAAGGCATTTGAGGGAACAGCTTCATTGTAAAGGTGGTTATGTCACCCCAGTAACCTCTTACTGTCTTCATGTCCAGATTTTCATACCTCTCATTGTTTTGTTCATACTTTTGCTTGGGCCCAGAAGATTTCCCCACCTTCCAAGTATTTCACTGTAATTCAGATTGGGGATGTTTCCAATTTCCCTACCCCTACACAAAGAGCACCTCTGAGTAGTAACTGTCATCAACCTGTTTGTACACCAGTGTCCACTATGTGCCACTTCAATGAGTGTTTGTTGGATTCTTTCTGCCTATAGATCTCTCTCTCTCTCTCTCTCTCTCTCTCTCCCTCTC